AAAACAAAACAAAAAAAAAAAAAAAAAAAAAAAAAAAAAAACCAAAGGAAAAAAAGAACATTACTCTTTAGTCTTAGTCTCTGAACTTATAGACTTCGATATTCATTCATCCATGCATTCATTTTTATTTTTAATTGGACTTTTAAAACTGCTTTATTACTCTGTGGCTATGTATGAATGATGTATGTGTGATGGATTTGCATACCATGTTGACTTTGTTAGAGTGCAAAGTTGTGGGGTTGGTACTCTCTTTATGTCTCTATATGAATTCTAGGAATGTAAGTCAGCTGTCCAGTCTTGCAAGTCAAGTGCCTCTACCCATTGAACAATGGTTCAATTCTGGCTTCTTGTTTATTGACTGATTTACTGACTTTGAGACTGGGCCTTGTTTTATAAATCAAGCTGACCTGGAATTTCTTGCCCACTCCTTAGCCTCCGGAGTGTTGGGATTACAGGAAAGTGTGACCACACATAGTTAGGGAAAGTCCATTCTGATGGGGCAAGGAGCTGCCTTGCAAAACTATGGCTGGGAAGTAACTTAGGGAAGCCAGAAGAAGATGGTCATAGAGTGTGCAAAGAACGATATACAGAGACAGCTTTGGGGAAGAGACATAAGGCTCCCAGTGCCTATCACTGGTGTGAAATTATATTATAGACCTGCCTGAAGTTGAATGACTCTGGTCTCCAAGGGTACCCACTCATAGGAGAGTAAACCCTACACAGAACACACACACACGCACACGCGCGCGCGCACACACACACACACACACACAGATTTAAAAAAAAAATAATAGGCCTTAGGGGATGTGTAGAAATTTTTCTAGCATGCCTGAAGCCTTGGCATCTGTCCTCAGGACTCCAAACACACAGTAACAGAGTAAAGTCTGTGCTTATAGCATGGGAAGGTACTGGTCTAGCACACATTCCTGCCTAAAAGGCTGGGGTTAGAGTCCCAGCACCAAAAGGAGGATAGGCATGGCATCATAGCTTAAAATTAGCAATTTCAATGAATTAATTGAAGATTTTATGAAGCTTAGAAATTTGTTAACAGGTCAGTACTTACAAAGTCACTGTTTGATGACTCGGTGAGTTGGTAAGTGATCCAGCAACTGTTTCATCTTTAACAACCAAGTCAACATTTTCTCCTGCTTTAAACACACAGAGCTTCCTCTCCTGTGGTCCTAGGGCCCTCATTAGTTTCTTTGGACTTTCCCATCTACTTGGAGAATAAAGTCCCAGAGCGAGATTAGCAAAGCTCCTGAGCTGCTGATTCTTTCCTGGTTGTGTTGTCATAGTGGTCTTCTGACTAGATAGTTCCCATGCTTGCTTTTCTCTCCTTCAGACATTTCTACTCTCAAGGGGGTGGTTGTATGGTGCTTAAGCCTCTGCCCACACATTAGACTAGTCAGCAAATTAATCAGGCCAGGTTATAAACATACCCAGTCACTGGTATAAACAGTTTTGCTGTGTAAGACCCCCTCCCCCCACCCAGAAGGAAGATCCTCACTCAAGTGATGACGTGACCCCCCAAGAACTCATGAGAGACCATCCTTGCTGCAATCACACGAGGTTTATTGACAGGAACCAGCGCGCTGGGGCCAAGACTCAAATCCCACGCAAGGGTAGAGGAGTTTCAACGCCGAATGGCTGGGAATAGGGGTTTTTAAAGGAAGAATCCACAACCCAAAATAACAAAAATACCAGTGAGGGAAGAAACCCCAACTCAAAATACCAAGAATACCAGTGAAAGGTCCTGAGGGAAGAAACCCCAACTCAAAATACCAAGAATACCAGTGAAAGGTCCCGAGGGAAACACAACGGGGAAACTCCCTGTTCCTTAAGATTGTTTGTAAGATTCTAATCTAACTTTTTATGGCTAGCCTTTTCCTGGAACAGAGTTGCTGATCCAGCTAGCCACCCTATATCCTAGGCCTTATTTTGTCTGCTGAGGGGGTCTTCTTTATCCTGGCCTTTCAGCTGCAGCACAGCTACAGACACTCCTTGCTATGTTGTCAGCAAACACTTTCAAATAATTGACATGAGTGCTTGCTCACGTTTTTATGTTCCTGAAACAAAATACTTTCAGACGATCCTGTACATAAAGGTAACCTGAGGGCCAGCGAGATGGCTGAGTGGGGAAAGGTTCCCACTTCCAAGATTGATGACCTGAGTTCAATCCCTAGCCGACATGGTAGAAGGAGATAGTGGACTCTGAAGAGTTATCTCCTGGCATCCACATTTGTGACAACATACAAACACAAATAAATGAGCAAACACATGTTTTGAATTTGAAGAGAAGCTCTATATCTGCTGCTTGCCTACACAAAATAGGAACACTACCATTTTTGTTTCCTTTCAGGATAAACACACTGGATTGAGGAATTACACTATATCCCCCATAAGTAAGAGTTTTCAAAGCAAATATTTCTCCTTGCTGGGGAAATATTTTATTTTATAGTTAGCATAGTTAAATTAGAAAGAGCTAACTTATAGGGAACATATGTCTACTGATACAGTGTAGGTCCTGGTTGACTGATTCCAGAACCTCTTTGCATTAGTTTTAGAACTCTGCATACTGAGACCATCAGTAGCTGTTTGGATTCTTTTTTTTTTTTTTCTGCAGATTTTTTTTATTTGAATTAGAAACAAGATTGTTTTACATGACAATCCCAGTTCCCTCTCCCTCCCCTCCTCCCCTACCACCTCCCCCCAACTAAAACCCTACCTATCACATATCCTTTCTGCTCCCCCTGGATGGTGAGGCCTTCCGTAGGGTGTCATCAGAGTCTATCGTATCCTTTGGGATAGGGCCTAGGCCCACCCCCGAGTGTCCTGGCTCAGGGAGTATTCCTCTATGTGGAATGGTCTCCCAAAGTCCACACCTATGCTAGGGATAAGTACTGAACTACTACAGGAGTTCCTGTAGATTTCCGAGGTTTCCTCACTGAAACCCATGTTCCTGGGGTCTGGATCAGTCCCA